ATTTTTAAAAATTATTTATTTATTTACTTATTTATTTATATTGATTTCAGAGAGGAAGGAAGAGAGAGAGAGACAAAAACATCAATGATGAGGAAGAATCATTGATTGGCTGCCTCCTGCATGTCCCCTGTTAGGGATTGAGCCCACAACCCTGGCATGTGCCCTTAACTGGAATCAAACCTGGAACCCTTCAGTCCACAGGCCAACATTATAGCCACTGAGCCAAACCAACTAGGGTTGCCAACATATTTTAATTAGCCTTTATCAGATTTACCTTGCCTCCGATTATCAACTACAAAATAACAATAATTAGTACAAGCCCTGTAAAAGGATGAATGAAAATATGCCATACATGTTGACAAAACAGACCGGAATATTATTCCTCTTGCACTAGGAATATCAAAAGCTAAAATTTACCATTCTCCTAAAATATAAAATCAATTAGTACATCAAAAACTACCTTAAAAACTAAAACAAAAAAGACACACAGGATAAGCAGGAGCCCCACAGCAATCTTATTTGTTTTCCATAGAGCTCCAAATGTTAGTTTGATTCCAGACTCTGCCCATTTCTTGTTTTTGCAAGATCTAAAAAGTCAATTATTCTAAATGTAATCTGCAGCCTTAAAAGTTGGTCCTTTGCCAAGTAATTTCAAGAGCTTCCCGAAGGAAAACTAATAATTTCACTGTTTTCTTTTGGTTGATATTACAGAAGTAAATTATATATACAATTAATTCATCCCTGATGTTTGCTATCAACTCAGAGAGTTTAGAATTGGGGGATTCCCATTGAAATGGTTGACTCCTCCAGCTTCTGCTGACAACTGGCCTGCATTCTTCTGAATGCTGATTAAAGATTAAGTTGGTATGTGAGTGGTTTCACTTGCTAACTTCCACATAGGTAGCTCATATCCTAATCTGAGACAGTAACTGCTGTATCTGTATGCACATGCTTCTAAAATAGACTGGGAAATTCTCAAATGCCATGAAAAATAGGTATTGCCACATATTCCATTTTAAAGGTTAGTCATTTTAAAACATTTTTTTGTTAATGTTTTCAGTTCACCTGTTTATAAACATTGTCCTAATATAGTACCTTGTACTTTGCTGAACTAGATAAATCTTGGTTGAACGAATTGATACATACATTCTTTAATATTCTCTTCAGGGCAGAATATCCCCAATTACTTTTATTTTACCAAGAGTAGAAGTAAAACATGGACCCACAAAGGAATTGGGTTCCTCAGCATTACTGGCATTGGATAGGGCTTAAGTTTTCATCCACCTCTGAGATTCTGTAAGTTAGATATCCATTGGAGAGGAAGTAAAAAACCTCCAAAAGAATTCCCTCAATATCCATGAAGGAGTGACAGTTACCTAGTGAATTTATAAAGTGACCAGTGAAAACCAAGGTCAGCTAAGATGAAAGTGCAATACACAGAGTGAGCTCAAGTACATTGGGATTTGTTCCTATGCTTGGATTCATTCATTGATGGAGTTTTTGTAAGTACCTGCCAAGAACTGAGTCAAGAGCAGCTAGAGCCATGACCTGTCCCTGAAACAGGTATCTTTGGCTCATCTGCCTGTTGCTCTTATTTCTATGTTTACTAGTCACTCAATAATTCTGAGCTCCTGCTGCGCCAAGCACTATGCTAAGCATTAAGGGTATAGCATTGTAGAAATGACAAAATTCCACTCATGGAGCTTACATAAATAAATGTACAATATCAAACTACTTGAACCTTCTAGAAAAAAAAAAAGAGAAAGAATACAATAGGGAACCAAATTTTCTCTTTCAGGGGTCTTCTCCAAGGAAATGCAATTAAGCTTAGATCTAAGATGACCAGAAGTCCACCAGGCAAGGTGTAAGAAGAGCTTTCCAGTTTGAGGAAGGAGCATGTGGTAAGCGCTGGAGACAGGAAGAGATTGAATGCATCTTGTGAATGCAAGCAACGTGGTCAGCAAAGGGAAGATGTTTGAGAGGCAGGCAGGGGTGAAATCATGCATAGCTTGGATGCTCTGTTAATGAGTTTGCATTTGTACTAATGCAAAGAGAGCACTAATTCTGATCTGTACTTTTACAGATCACTGGCTGCACTGAGAATAAACCAGGAGGACAATAATAAAAGTGGTGAGACCAACAAGGAGCTATTGTAGATGGGAGATGATGAAGGCTCAGATTAAAGTGGAACTGGAAGTAGTGAAGAATAAATAGATTTGAGGTAACTTTTGAAAGCAGAATCAATAGGTCTAGAAGGTAGATTGAATGATGGATGTGATCTGAAACAGGGTCTTAGGTATAATTCTCAAGTATTTGGCTTGGGCAATGGGGTAAATGTATGTGCCCTTTATTGAGATGAGGAAGCTTGAAAGGAGAACAAAATAGGGTGAAATCAAAAATTTTAGTATCAGTGTACTAGTGGCAATAAAACTAAAATGTGTGTCTGAGAGAAAGGCTTTTTTTTTTTTTTAAATGAAGAATAAAATACAAAAAGGGGTAAGGAAAAGGGGGAAAAAGAAGATGACAATTTAAATAAATATAAAATAAAATTCCCAGAGGGATGATGGAGGGTAGGGGTTGGAGACTGATGCATATCAGGATAGCAGTGGATGTACAATTTGAAAAAAGGCATACTCAACATTATACTGTATTTTTTTTTAATTGTGGGGGAAAATCCAGTGCTCTTGATAATATAGATTACAGAAATTAAATTAGAAAGATTCATAGATTCATATCTGGTGGGTCTACACAAAAGGTAGACTGTATCATCTGCTTATTGGCTTTGGTTAGTTTTTACAGAGGAATGCAAGTAATGTAATTTTTATGTTAATCAGAAAAGAGCACAGGCTATATATATATATATATATATATATATATATATATATATATATATTTTTTTTTTTTCCATTGACACTGATCCAGAAGAAGGGAAATGAGAAAACATGGTAAAAATATCGGAGAGAAAAAGAGAAATGGGTGGAGAATTTTTCCAGCAAGCAACGACATCTCTGCCCTCATGTCTGTGCCAATGCAGGTGCTAATGGTCACCTGGATTTGAATCCCAGCTGGGCCACTTGTCAGTGGGTGATCTTGGGCATGTCAGGCAACTGCTCCAGGCTCGGTTTTCCTAGTTTTAAAAACTGATAATGATAGCACCTATCTTATACAGTGATTGTCAAGGTTAAAAGGAATAACTCATAAGAAGTGCTTAAAATGCCTGGCACAGAGGAAGGGCTCAAAAAGTGTCAGCTGCCTTTCTGCAGCTGACTATGGATGCATAATTGTTAGAAAGTGGTTGTAGGTGTGTGTAACTCCTCACTTCCCTAAAGCTATTGACTTTGCTAGTGACTTTGCTCTCTTAGGTTCAAACTGTATCAAAAATAGTTTTTGATTTGTTAAAAATATAGGAGGATATAATTAATATTTATAAGGCATTCTAAAATATTATTAGGATTTAATTTTTGCAAATTAGTGAAAATGCCCCATCTAATTACATAGCCAGAAATATGTCTTCTCATTTATTTCCAAAAATGTTAGCTATAATTTAAAATTTGCTATTTAACTCCCTAGGGAGGTCAGTAATTAACTTCTAAACTTATTCTTTGAAAATACCAAATACTAGAGATAATGTTCTGAAACCCTCTTGATATATTCATCATCACTTTGAGTCATTGTAAAACCTATATTTTCTCTGCCGTAACGATATTATGAAGACATATGAAAATATTCCACCTGAAAACATACCTATGTCAGCATCCCCTTATATCCAGAACATCACAAGTGAGACCTCTCAATTGAAACTGAATTGGGACTACTTTATGGAACACTGCACTCTTTTTCTTCCTGACTCTCTTTTCTCTTTGGTTCTTATGTACAAATGAAGTTTTATTATTTATCATACATATTCTTTAGAATATTAATTCAAACATTACATCCAACCTTTAGACTCAGAACACTTTGTTTACAAAATTGTGGAAAAAGTCAAAATATTCTAAGGTCAAATCTGGAATCTACATGTATTAGCAATATCATACTGATGGCAATGCCTTGACTGCTTTAAATTTTGTTATTATTATTTTTATATAAAATGGGAATAACTAAATAAGAGAACATATGTAATTGCCTTGCTTGACAACATACTAACAATATATTATTGCCCTGGTTGGTTTGGCTTAGTGGCTAGAGTATTGGTTTGCAGACTTAAAGATCCTGGGTTTGATTCTGGTCAAGAGCATGTACCTCAATTATAGGCTTGATTCCCGACTCTGGTCGGGGCACCTGTAGAAGGCAAGCATTGGATGTGTCTCTCTCACACAGATGTTTCTCTCTGTATCTCTCCCCTTCCCTTCTACTCTCTTTAAAAATCAATGGAAATATATCCTTGTCTGAGGATTAACCAAAAAAAAAAAAAAAAAAAAAAAGAATGATGAGGATTAACAGAAAAATTAAAAGAATGTGTTTTTTTGTGGTCAGATAGAAGTGTTAATTATGTAGTTATGAACAAGTTGTTTAATACCTCAAGAAGCAGTTAAGTGATGGCACTAATTTATACTTTAGTTAAAATATTAAATGGTGATAATAGCATCTACTTCTTAGGCTATGTTGTGCCTGGAGCCCAATAAGTGTTTACTAAATATTATCTAAAAATATAACTCAATAAATATTCTATTTTGTCCTCAGATTGAGGGAAATAGTGCTACTTAAATTTCAAAATTAATTCTTCTAGAAAAATATAATCAATGCCTCATTAAAAATGCATGGGAACCAAGAACATTGGAGCATCATGTGATCATGTCTGAATGCTCTATGAACACACCAGGAAAAACCACAAGGCAATGTTCTTAATTTCTCCCATTGCGCCAAGGGAGCAGCACATCTCTCCGCCTCGAGGAGGAGGATGTCCAGTGCGAGAGAAGTGAGCAGAGGTGGGCTCTGCCCCTTCTTTCCTGGTGGAAGCACATGCAATTCGAGAAGATGAAGTGAGGAAGCGCATGCAGTACCTGGTCATCTCAGAGTCAGGGAGCAGGCCTAGGTGGTAGTGGGGGTAGGGAGATGATAGAAGGAAGCTTTTGTCACACTCAACAGGGGAATAGTGCCTGGGAGAAGGAGGCTTATCACACAGTTTGTTCACAGTGCTGTAAACGGGTTCCGGAGGCCTGGTGACACAAGAGGAAGAGAAAGAGTTGCATGGTTAGCACACACACTGAACAACTGTGCACCTGGTAGCATTTCATCATATGCAGAAGTAAAAATCCAGGACAATGTTATGGGCTCCAGTAGGCCTGAGTTAAGAGTCTTTTTAGAAAACAGGATGTCTGGTTAGAAAATGGAACTTCGGCTCACATTTGGCATGACTAACATTTACATGCCAGACACCTCAGTAGTGTCAAAAATCAACCTGCAAATGCCATGCCTTTTTGGATAATCCAAGCTGAAAGGCCACACCTTGGGATTCTCTGACATGGCTCCTATTTATTTATTTATTTATTTATTTATTTATTTATTCTCTTTATTGTTGAAAGTATCTCATAGACATGGCTCCATTGTAAACTTTAGTCTCGTCTTAAATGTGTACTTCATAGAGATGTTCGCTCCTGGATCATTGTGGTCAAAACATCCTGTTATTTTTGTGGCACATATTTCACTTTATAATATTTTTTTCTCAGCATGCAATAATCTTTCTTGTTGGTTTGTTTTGTTCAATTTATTAATGCCATTGTCACTACACCATGGATTTTATGAGGACATTTGTTTTGTTAGTCTGGGACACAGCACACCTTGCATAAATATTTATTGAATGCCTACATAAATAAATATATGCATACAACTTTTCACATGCCTTGCACATATTTTGGGGGTGGTTGTTAGTCCTCCCTAGGAATCTAATAGCTTTTATGATCTGGGTGTTTCCTCTAAATATTTACTTATAGATTACTCCCCCTCCCCAACAATTGATTTCAGAGAGTTTTCTATACATAGAATACTCATTTTAGTAAAATGTCTTATTAAATAAATTAATCCAGGGATACTGAAACATGATCTAAAACAGCAACATTTTAATAGTTATTACTTATAATCATATATGGTATAATCAGACACCTTTTACCTATAGTATTTGGTCAGAGATCCATGTACTATAAATAAAAATGTCCCATAGTTTTATCCCACACTTTTAACATACCAGAAACTACTGCTAATATTCTTTAAGGTTAAGAATTGAAAGATATAAATTTAAGTGCAAGAGCTATCTAGCAGACTGGGCCACAGATGCAGAAAGAGTAAGTTTGACTGGGAAGGTAAGGAGCAGGTCAGGACACAGGGCCAAGAGCACCCGTTGGCCCACAAGATGCCAGAGGCAGCAAGTAGTGGCCAAATGCCTGTCAAAGTACAGGAAATGTATGTGGCAAGCTCATGAGGGCACAGTCCATGTTTCTGTAGCTCCAGTTCCCAACATGGCCCCTAATGTATAATAGGTACTCAAACAATGCTTCCTGAACTGACTGAGGAGGGAGGTCAGGGAGGAAATAGAATAAGCAAAGTCTTAAAGGTGACCTTTACCTCATTTGTAATATTACTAGAGGTCCGATGCATGAAATTTGTGCAATGGGCTCAGCCCTCGCAGCCCCAGCTTCGTCCGGAATGTCATCCACAAGGACATCTGGAAGGTTGTTTGGCTGTCTGGTCTAATTAGCACAATACACTCTTAATATTATCGATTGTGAGCCAGTCATGGCAGACACACTGTCTAGAGAACTGTATTCTTTCCTATCACAGAACTTTCCACCACACAGAAAGAGATGTCTTGACATGTTTATACCATAGTGGGGCTGATGATGATGAACAGGAGGCAGACAGATTCCTATTTTGTCCTCCAGAATGATCCTCTTAGTAGTAAAATAAGGTACTTAACAATACAGTTGGCTTGTTCTAGCCCAGTGTCCAATAAGGTTTTTAAGGCTCCTTCAATGAGATAACCAAAATTGTTCTTACTTTAGGAAAGTTGGCATATATTGAGTTAAGATAACTATGCCACTTTCAGGTAAACGTACCATGTTTGTAAATTTCTGTATCAGCTACTAAAATATATCTGTCAAAATAGATTAGATAGTATTTTTTATTTTTATTTTGGGAGAGTCTGTTTTGATGTGTTGATATGTGCATCTTTACGTACGAAAATATGCACACATTTCTCATGGTCTTGGAGACAGAAAGACCCACATACTGATCAGATAAAGAAAGTCACCTTTGGAGATGACAGTCTTTTCTGAAACTAAAATATGCGTGTCCACACAAAAATGCAGCTTGATAGGGCTTTGTATTAATAAGCTGCATAAATATTAATCAGATAAAAATGAGGGGCATGTGCAAGCTCTATGGGAATTACTCTGGGTAGGTTATCACAAGAGGATCTGATACCATTCTCCAGTTTGTCCACTCTGAGATACAGCTGCTGTGGTAGAAATGGCTGGATTGCCTTCTAAACATCCATGTACTCTTCTTTCTTAATAATAGAAACCCAAGTTTCCACTTGTCACTTTTTCTATAGTAAAGACTTTGTTTCTCAGCCTCCTTTGTAGATAGATGTGGCCTATGAAGATATTCAGCCCACTGTGATTTGAGCAGAAGGATTTTCTGAGATTCCTGTGCTGACTGCTTAAAGGGACCCCTGGAGTTTTGTTCTTTCCTACTTGCTCCCTCTGCTGACCAGAAATCTATATGTGATGGCTGGAGCTTCAGTGGTCATCTTGGACCATGAAGCAACCTTGAGGATGCAGGCAAACAATATCACTGGTGAAGCATAATGTCAGAACCTGTGCTCCACAAGGCTTATAATCTAATACAAAGAAGTAACTATAGCCCTAGCTGGCTTGGCTCAGTAGAGTGTCCACCTGCGGACTGAAGAGTCCTGGGTTAGATTACTATTAGGGGCACATGCCTGGGTTGTAGGCTTGATCCCCAATAGTGGGCATGCAGAAGGCAACTGATCTGTGATTCTCTCTCATTATTGATGTTTCTATCTCTCTCTCCCTCTCTCATATCAATAAAAATATATATTTTAAAAGAAATAACTATATATAGGGATTTTGATAAGGTGACAATACATTTAATTGTGTCAGAGATTCATCTAACACCTCTGTATACACAGAAAAAAATATAAAGAATATTTTTTCTGACTATATATTTTAAGTCTATGACTGTTTAGAGAACTCACTGTATCTTTATTTAAAAACATTAGATATATGAAATGGTAGCTGATCTAAACTGCCAGAACAAGGCCTAAGAATAAAGGAACTGATGATTTCTTTTAAGTCATAAAACATTTTCAAGATGATGTCATTTCAATAACATTGTACTTTCTGCCTAGGAGGGCTGATTCAATTTTCTTAGTCTGATGTTGACTCGACAGACCAAGAAAATTATGTTAGCAATTTTCCCCTAGTCCTTTTACCTCAGTAGCAGTATATTTTGAGACAAATTATCAGAATCAAAGCTGGCTAATGCATATCTTAGGGGGGAAAAATCGCCACTTGTATTGTACTCAACTAAATCAAGGGAAAATCAGCTTCTCTATAAACACTACAATAAATTCAAGACAATAAAAATGAAGCCATATACATTGCACACTGTTGAACTTTTAAGACTTTTACCTATGTCTTTTGGAACGATTTTATGGGTATAACATTATTTTATGACTCCTGAGTTTAGTAGACTTGTTATTTGGAGGAAGCTTAAATACATTAGATTTTAGAAAGAGGCCCTTTTTTCTTTGCCTACAGTTACTTCCAGAATTGTTTTATAGTGAATTGATTTCTTGCTTAAGCATCAATACTCATGATTCATTCCCTTATCAATGCAGAGATATAGCTACTGATATTACAGGCTCATTTTTATATTTTATTCCTTCCCTTTTTATTTACATTTTTTATACAGTCACTGGCTAAAGAGTAGATATATCAAATCCAGTTTCTTTTTTTTTTGTTTTTGAGAGATCAATTGATATCTCAGAAGATGGGTAGATTAAAATAAACATTAAAATAACTGCTCAACAAATTTGACTTAACCTTTTTGCAATAATGACAATGTTCTCTTGCAACCAAATAACTAAATTGAAAACATCAGTGACAATAATTAAAACAGCCTGATAGTGGCAGAAAAACCAACAAACAGACCAATGGAACAGAAATGATAGCCCAGAAATAAACTCATATATATGTGAGCAATTACTTTTTAATGAAGGAATCAAAAACATACAATAAAAAAAAGAAAGTAAACTTTTTCAATAAATGGTGCTAGAAAAGTTAGAAAGCCAGATATAAAAGAAGGAAACTAGACTGTTTATTACCATACACAAAAATTAACTCAAAATGGATCAAAGTCCTAAATATAGGACCTGAAACTATAAAATACATAAAAGAAAACATTGGTACTAAACTTATGGACCTTGACCTTAGAGAAAATTTTATAAATTCAACCTCAAAAGCAAGAGATATAAAAGCAAAAATAAATTAATGTGGCTAAATCAAACTAAAAAGCTTCTGCACAACAAAAAAACCATCCACAAAAAAGGCAACCAACCTAATTGGAGAAGTTATTTGTAAACAACACTTACAAGAAGGAGTTAATATACAAAGTATATAAAGAACCTATACAATTCAACAACAAAAAACATACAATGCAATGAAAAATATTGGCTGAGGGCCTAAACATACATTTCTTTCAAAAAGACATACAAATGACCAACAGATATTTAAAAAGATGCCCAACTTCACTAGCTATTAGGGAAATGCAAATCAAAGCCACAGTAAGATACCACCTCACACCAGTTCAAAGGGCTATTATCAACAAGACAATAGCAAATGTTGGAGAGGTTGTAGTGAAAACTCTCACACACTGCTGGTGAAAATATGAATTGGTGCAGCCACTACAAAAAATAGTTGGAGGTTCCTCAAAAATGAAGCATAGAATAACCATATGAACCAGCAATCCCTCTACCTGAAAAATGTGAAAACATTTATTTATAAAGATATCTGTATCCCTTATGTACATCACAGCATTATTTACAATGGCCGAGACATACAAATAACCTTCGATAGATGATTAGATAAAGTAAACATGGTACATATATACAATGGAATACTACCCAGCCATAAGAACA